GTTGTCGTGCTTTGTTTTCTAAAACATAGTTCAGTAATTATAAGAACAGCTTTATCATTGTTGTATAGTCCTGTAAATTAAAGCCTTACTACTGATGATCTCTGTTAGTATTTCTGTGTTTTTTTTTACAATTGCTTTTGTTGTTTAATGGTAATTGTGCTTTGTCATTATGATCTCTTTAGAGCTCAACCCACAGAGGAAGCTGGAGTATGGCCAAACAACCAGTTTGAAACCGAGAGACTTCAGGCGATGATTCTGGCATCCGCTAACGGTCAGTGTTCTAGAGCAGCATATGGGAAAACAGCATGATATATTTAATAATTTATACAGGTCTGCTATTTGTCAAAGCCAAGCAAATCAATATTGTTAATTTAAAAAATCTGGAGGTAAAGAGTTGTAGCCCATAGTAGTTCAATTACAGATCCAACAGGTAGGAAAATTAAAGATGTTAAGTGATTAGTCATTATGTATAACAATGGCTCTTTTCTTTCCAGGCTGAACTTCATGTAAAAAAAATGTCATTTAAAATATTTGTGTGGACTGCAAGTTCACCAACTATAGGCTGCCTGCAAAAAACTACTGGAGGAGGGCGGATACAAGACCAGTCACCCTGCACAAGGAGAGAAAGCAGCAGTGACTTGTCTTTATTACAGGATGACCTGCATAGTGGTAAAATGTTATGCTAGGTTATTGCAATATTTGCAAATTTTGGTTATACCAGAATTCAGCGTAAAAATGAATTCTTTGGCCCCCCAGCTGTGGTGACTCTTAGTTCCAAAGTTTTCCTACCCCTAGTCTTTAAAGATGCTGAATGGAAGCCTTGCCCTGATTTTGTATTCCATACAGAAGTTTGTGGACCTTAGTGCTACTATGTGTTCACGTGTTTGGATTAGGGTTAGAGTTTCCATTAGGCACATAAAAGCATTGTTCTTAGGTCCCACAACATTTTTAAGGCCTAGAAATTAAAAATGAAAATGGTTTTCAGCTGCCAGCCCTATATCCTCCCACTTGTTTAGCCCTGTTAAGCAACAGAAAAATATTATTTCACAGTTAGGTCCCTAGGTTGTTTTTTTCGTAGAGTGCACCTATGCACAGCTGGAATCATTGTTCATCCTGTTCTTAGAAAAACACTGTATCTCATTGGCCACTGGCAGGAGCTAAGAATTGCGGACACTTTCTGCCCACATTGCAGCTCAAAAGGTTGTCTCCTATGGTGCCCATGCAGCATCACTGGAAACATCACCTGCATTGCTTCTGTTCCCTGCAATTACAAATGTTTGCTGTTCCTGTTGCAGCTCTACATGAACTACATTAGTGCTACACCATCCCATAATGGCTCCTGGATGTTAGGAAAAGGAGCGATCCTTATGTAAGGGAAGCACAGTAGGGAGTACTCAGATGGAGTCCTTGTGTGAAGCAATACAGTATAGGAGCACTAGAAAGTGAAGTGCTAAGATGGCCCCAGTACAGCGTAATATTCAGAATAGTGAAATACAAAAACATTTCTGTAAATCAGGGGTCTCAAACCTCCGGCTCTCCAGCTGTGGTGAAACTACAAATCCCATGATGCATCTTGGGAGTCATATCTGTGGCTGTGAGAATCTTGCAATGCCTCATGGGATTTGTAGTTCCACCACAGCTGGAGGGCCGGACGTTTGAGACCCCTGCTGTAAATGGAACCAAGTGAAAACTGTTCAAGCCCATAATATGTCAGTCTTTAGAATAATCAGCCAAGTGTTTTACTTGGCTAAACACACCTGCATATAGATCTGTTTCAGACATTGTTAGGGCCAGTTTAGTTATCATACGGCTGTTCGGTTATGATGTTTTTCTGCTGTGTACTAAAATGCTATGGCTCTGATTAGAGATTTAATGCGTGGGCATGAACTAGGATTAAAAACAATCCTTGGCATATCAAAATGCGCCAGCCCACATTTGTGTGCATGAGTAAACATTGCAGTGCCCAATGCAACAGTAATCTTTTTGTTTCTACAGGATAACAACTGAGTTAATATTTTGGGGACAAAGTTTAGATTATACACTGCAATAAATCTCCTGTCTTCTTTAAACAGGGATAAATTAGACTGAACAGGCAATAAGAACTTCCAACTGCCCAAAAATACTCTTTGGCAGTCTTGACTATTTGTTCATTGATTATACACAAGGAAAAATATTTAATTTATTTATATTGTAAATAGCTGCTCACACTGTTGGCACTATAAAATCCTAAATAATATTAATGGTAATAATAATAATTGAATTAATTAAAAACAGAATTAATTGGCATAGTAAGTATTTGCATTACCCCAGTTATAGTCTTCCCTTTGTTATTTAATGTCATGCTTCATTGCAGATTTTAATCTGATTGGTGGCTAGAAGGGGGTACATACTACTTTTGTTTTGGTCATTATGACAAAGGAGGTATGTATTTTGCTAAATATAGAGGAGTGTATCTACTTTTGCAATCCGCATAGCAAACATCATATAGTCCTAGTGTGACATGCACTGTACCAATCCAATAAGTGGGTTGTAATGACACAACGGATGGCAATGTTTAAAAGTCCATGTAAAAAAAAAAAAGTTATTCTTTTCACTATTTATTGTGAAAGCATCAAGGTGCATGAACATTTTTTGGGGCATGAATCTCTTTGTACATTTAGAGGGTATGAAAATATTCCAAACAGGAAGTGCCTAAACAATGCCTTCAGGGTTACCAAGAATTTGTTTAATGAAAGCTACATAGTTAATAATATTGAAAACTAGACATGTTTACGCTTACATGAGTTTTTGAAAATGAGTTTACATCTATTTTAAGTAACGGGTTTACATATTTTATGTTGGCAAACAAAGGTCAGTAGAATCCTTTAACAATTTTACTGACATGGATACCAGAATATTTTGTGGTTGAAACAAAAGTAACTAATCCAGTCATGTGTAGGGCCATGTTATTTTCTGTCTTATAAACTAAAAGTAACATTACTGCTTTTATCACAAAATATGCTATCAAAAGCTTTGACATCTGTCATCTGACTCTTAGATTCATTTTTCCATTGACAAAACCGTAATGCAACATGTTACAAGAGTGAAAAAAACACACCTAAATTGGTTCTTTTGGCAAGTTCTAATGTTTATTCATCGCGTGTATTACTACTTGATGTGTTTTTGCAGGCTGACTATTGAAAGCATATCAATTGACATCAAGTAAATTAAGTAAATGAAACATATTGTTACTAGTGCCATCCATGTTTTGTTTGTCTGTTATGCGACTGCCACAAATGACCCATGCCTTGGGCTGACACCATAGGAGGAGGGATGCAATTACAGATCTTCCATTCTCATTATGAAACTACAAGTAACTACGAAGTAACCGATAAGTCTCTTTAAAGAAAATAGGTGTACAAATTATATTATTTCATTAATCTGTGTCCCTTTTAAAGGGATTACAATATAAAATGCATATATAAAAAAACATAACATCTGAAGAAAACCGGAAAAAAAAAAATAATAGGATGATCAGCAAATGCTCAAACAGTGGACTTTATCCTTCTAATACATTGCAATCCTCATAGCAAACATCAGAACATCAGCAATCTATATATTTATTGGGAGTATGCATAAGCTAAAAGAAAACAACAGCTCAGCATGCAGCTAATGTACTGTAATTGTGTGCAGGCACTCTTGTGATTTACTTACCCTGACCCACTAGATAGCCATAGACCTGTCATAGGCAACCTAATACTTTTCTACTTAGGTATATGCTGTATCTGCTCAGAGATATATCTGCTTTAAATAAGCTGCTTGAAAAGGAATTTAAAAAAAAAAGCTTTACTTTACTAACTGTGATTAGTGCTACCCTTAGTAATCCTGTCCCTCCCTAAGTGGAGAAGAGTAACATCCTACATTGCAGGATATTTTTAATATTTGTTATGCAGTTGCACATGTGTATGAAGTACAGTGCAGTTCCTGTGCCATAATGTATCAGCTTGTAAATTTAAATTACAGGAAAGAGAATCTCTGAGATGAAGTCAGACTGAGAAATATGAAGGGTGACAGTGCAATGATGAGAGTACGTTAGATGTTTCCATATACATAGTTGTTTTCACTTGTATGTCTATATCAACCTATACATATCAATCACTGGACCATCTATGATACTTTTATTTTATTGCTTGTATGGAGCCACAGTCACTTTTAAAGCCCTTGGTTCCTTAATATCTAAAATGGAGAAAGTACCAATAATATTTTAAAACTGGGTTGATAATTATGCATTAACTGGACTTGTACAACGATGAATACTCCTGAAGCTTCTTAAAGAAAACCTTTTCTGATAGAAATATAGAGGCTACCATGATGACGTCTCATTTGGAAAATGCTAATTGAATGGCCATGTTTCTCCAATACTTTGAGTAATTGGGTTGATTGTCCCTTAGCTTAGTGACTCAAGTGAAGCTCTGCTGACTTTCATTATCCAATCATGTGCACACAAAAATACTGTTTGTTTTTTTACCTTGCATGTGATTGGATATTCTTTGCAAAGTGAATTGTTACCTCATTCACTAAGCTAGGGGAAAAGTCCCTTGCAAAGTGCACAATCCCTCGCAAAATGAAGAGCCTAGTTGCCTTTAGTAAATCAATACCATTATCCCAGTAGAAGCATGCAGACTTCTGACTCTACTCCCACTGTCTGTCTGATATGCCTACCTATTCTGGGTTAGTGATTCAAAAGGGCCAGTATGACAGCCAGATGCCTAGTGTTCTCAGTAGGTGGTCAGCAATGACAGCCCCCAGATTCAGTTTAGGAAAAGTTTTCTTTAAATAAATTTACCTCACTGATGCTTCCTTGATTGCCTACTGTTATTTCAGCCTATGTTCCCTGTGATCAGAATTTATCAGTAGACTTCCCACTGGGTCACTGGAGAGAAAAAGCGGTACACGTTCCAGTGACTTTAGATCAAACCAGAGTTGTCTGGTGCCTCTAAAAACACCAAATAATATAGCAGGAAAATATTTTTTTTTTTTTAGCATAGGCACCTTCCAGGCTTGGGCAGGGTTGCAGCCAAACCTCTATTCATATGGTCCTGCCACTGCTGCCAATACAAATGGAGAGGAAAAGAGATCATACAGGAAGCACATGGCAAGTCTTAAGAGCAAGGATTTATTTTCGTCTTGTTACAGGCTGAATTTATTAGTACTTTCTGTCTAAAACTAAGTTTGAGTAGAAATGTGCTTTGGTGAGCACATTTACTAAGGAAGAATATTTTCAAATTTGTATATTTGCCATTTGGAATTCAGATATGGTTCTTACTTAACATTAACAACTTTTTTCCATATTAACTTACAGAGGCTGCTGAAGGAACATCAGGCCTTGGAGGAAGCACAGGCACCATGGGCCTTAGTGCCCGCTACGGACCACAGTTCACCCTGCAGCACGTGCCCGACTACCGACAAAACGTCTACATTCCGGGAAGTACACTTACCCCAACCAATGCTGCAGGGAAGCGTGACGGAAAAGGTGGAAACAAGAAGAAATCGGGGAAAAAAGACAAGAAGTAATCATTTTTAGAGGGGCTAAATCATACACAGGGCAGATTTGTTTGAGAGATTTCCCATGTTAAAAAGAAAAAAAAACAACAAAAAAAAGAAAAGTATTAGGGTGAAGTTGAATGTCACCTTAGGAAAACATATACATAAAATCAGTATCGAGAATGAGTCTTTATGGTTTCTGGCTGCAAATAATGTCCTTTAGCTGGACATTTCTCTGCTTCTAGCCTTCATGATGAAAACATTATGTTAAAACCTCTGAAATAAGTGCCCTGATTATATTCGCTAATATTTTGTACTAGTGCAAGCTGATTACCTAGCTAATGTATGCACTCTTTTTACAAACTCTTTCAATTTAATTTGCTCCCACAGTTACATCTTGTGGAATTTCTTCCATTGTATATAATTCCAGCAGAGTAGATATTTATAATTTATAAACATTCAGGTAATACATTGCTTTTTACCTGTTTCCCATCATTTTTTCCTTTGACTAACAAGTGGCGCTAGTCAGTTTGCTATAGACAGCGATATTTCACCTGAATTTAAAATATAT